AATTCAGCTCTTTAAATCTGATAATGGCAGTGAATTTTTTGCGAAGTCTTTGGGTGCGTTTTTCAGGGAAAAAGGCATAGTTTAGATTAGTTCTTGTGTTGACACCCCACAACAAAACGGTATTGCCGAAAGAAAAAATAGACACCTCCTTGAAGTTACTCGTTCTCTTCTATTACCACTAATGTTCCAAAATATTTGTGGGGGGAAGCCTTATTAACTGCCACATATTTAATCAATCGAATGCCTAGTAAGGTTTTACAATTTCAAACACCTCAATCTATATTTTTGCAATACTTTCCCCATTTTAAACCTATCTCCTCCATTCTTCCACTTAAAATATTTGGTTGTACTGTTTTTATCCAAAACATTGCTCCTAATAAGTCCAAGTTAGATCCTAAATCATTAAAGTGTGTACTGGTTGGGTATTCTTCATTTAAGAAGGGTTATAAATACTATCATCCTCCTTCAAAACGATTTTTTACCACTATGGATATAACATTTTATGAGCAGGTTCCCTATTTCACTCAGGCTGAAATTCAGGGGGAGACATGGAAGGATTTTCAGCCACATCAGGTATCTCCTACTCTTCATTCTCAACCTTCAGAATTGCCACCAATTTTGTCCTTACCTACAGATTTGTCACCTGTAACTACTCCCATTGATCCACCTGTAGTACCTATCACTACTTCACCCATACCCACTTTAAATACCCTTCCTGAAAATACACCTACTCCCATTCAAAATATTCCACAAACAACACCAATCAAACAACTCCGTTTCTATACAAGTAAAAGAAAACATATTCCTGAGGCTGTTTTGCAGTCTGATTCTTGCCGAGAATTGGATTTGGGTCCAGCTGTCGAAATAGAAGAAGAAATCAGTAAGTCCACTTCCCCTACTCTAGATGACTTCCCTATTGCTATTAGAAAAGGGGTTAGACAGTGCACCAAGCATCCTATTGAAAAATTTGCTGGTTATAATTCATTGATGCCGTTTTTTCAAGCATTTACAGCAAACTTGGATAAAGAACAGGTTCTCACAAGCATAGCTGAAGCTCTAAAGGATTCAAAATGGAGAAGGGTTGTTGAAGAGGAAATTTGTGCACTGGAGAAAAATGCTACTTGGACTGTTACGGACCTTCCTCAAGGAAAAAAAGTTGTTGGCTGTAAATGGATCTTTACTGTAAAGTATAACTCAAATGGTAGCATCTAACGATACAAAGCGAGACTAGTGGCCAGAGGCTTTACACAAACATATGGGATAGATTTCACAGAAACTTTTGCACCTGTGGCGAAGCTGAATACTGTTCGAGTACTCCTAAGTTTGGCTGTAAATTGCGATTGGAAATTACATCAACTTGATGTACAAAACGCTTTTCTTAATGGCAAGCTAGAAGAAGAAGTCTATATGAAGTTGTCACCTGGCTTAAAGTCTGTTGAAGGAAGTAACAAGGTGTGCAAGCTCAACAAGTCTCTATACGGGTTAAAACAATCACCCAGAGCTTGGCTCGAGAGGTTCACTAAAGTCATCCTAAAAAACGGCTACAAGCAATCCCTCGCCGATCACACTCTTTTCATCAAGGTAACTTCTACAAATAAGAAAGCTATCCTTATTGTGTACGTGGACGACATAATTCTTACCGGAGATGATGAAGAAGAGATTTGCAATTTGAAGAAGTTGTTAAATAAGGAATTCGAAACCAAAGACTTGGGAAAGCTAAGGTATTTCCTAGGAATGGAGGTGGCAAGGTCAAAAGAAGGACTTGTGATCAACCAAAGAAAATATATACTTGATTTACTCAAAGAAATTGGTTTTCTTGGTTGTAAGCCAATTGATACACCAATGGAGGCAAGCTTGAAATTTAACAAAGAATATGGGTCCTTGGTAGACAGAGAAATTTCAAAGATTAGTTGGGAAACTAATTTATTTATCCTTGACAAGGCCAGATATAGCATTTCCTGTAAATGTGATAAGTCAACACATGACTAATCCTACTGAAGAGCATATGGCAGCAGCAAATAGAATTCTCAAGTACTTGAAGAAAACTCCAGGACACAGTTTAATGTTTAAAAAGACAGAAGACAAAACTGTTAAGATCTTTACAGATTCTAGTTGGGCCGGAGACCTTACTGAAAGGAGATCCACTAGTGGCTACTGCACCTTTGTTTGGGGAAACCTTACAACTTGGAGAAGTAAGAAACAATATGTCGTTTCAAGAAGTAGTGCTGAAGCTGAATTTAGAGCACTAGCATTGGGAATATGCGAAGGAATTTGGCTACTTAAACTACTGAAAGAACTTGTCACTAATCAAGAGGATCACTTTGAAATTTTGTGTGATAATCAATCTGCTATTCAAATTGCCAAGAACCTAGTTCAACATGATCGGACAAAGCATGTTGAGATTGATAGGCACTTTATTGCTGATCAAGTTAACAAAAAGACAGCCACAGTTTCATACATTCCTTCAGAAGAACAAGTTGCAGACATTCTTACTAAGGCTTTGCCAAAGCTTGTTTTCAATAAATTCCTATTCAAGCTGGGATTATACAATGTATATTCTCCAGCTTCCAACTTGAGGGGGAGTGTAGGAATTATAGAGATGATTTGTTACCGTTCCTATAGAGATATGATTTGTTACTATTCCTATAGATATATGATTTTGTAAATAGATTTCTAGAATCCCTTATTTTAAGGGGTCATATCCTAGGATTATTATTTTTCCTTTCTTAGAGTTTCCTACTTTAGAGAGATATTTTGTATATAAATATGTAATCTGTCATATTGAAAAGAATAAGAAATTACAGAGAATTACTCTGATTTTTACAAGGACAAAGAGCCTGAGCAGGATTAACTAGAGATGCCACAGAGTTCTCCTTAGCTAAGTTAGAACCATCCATAACTGCTCATGCACTGGTTCCATCTCGGATCACCGGTTGATCCACAGACACACAATCCCCAATGCTAATTCCCTGCTCGCCAGACTGCTCAAAAACCAGATGGACATCTTGTTCTCCTTGACTGAAAACCTCCGCCTCCCTTAAAATAAAACTCCTCTGCCTAGAAGCGTCATCTGCCACTAGCAAAGGAGAAGCTAAACTGGTATTAGGATGAACCCCAGACCTATTATTATTAAACGCCGGCCCAGGAGAACGTAAATCCTTCAAAAAGGCCAAAGACTCAAGATCCTCCTGCTGGGCATTTTCAACTGGAAAATTAACTCCCAGCCCTAGACCCACATGCTTTCCCACTAGAGAAGTCCTATTCTCTAAAAAACCTGACAGCCCACAATGTGATGTTTCTGCTTTTGACTTACTTGAGGAGGCCTGTCTCCCACTAACTCCAATAACGCCACAATTCTGACCATTATTCAACCATGAAAAGACTTTACTCCTAGAATTCTCTATTGTGTCATTTTTATTTGTTGCCAGCATAGGACCGCGGACATCCTCCGCCTCGAATTTGTTTAAACCCTCCTTCCTCCTCCCTAGCTCCTCTGTATGAATCACCACAAACCCCATGACGATCTTGATTAAATACGATCTACCATAAGAGCTTATAGTAGTCGATTCTGGGACATCAAAAGGACTTCCACCCTAAGCAAAACTTTTGCCGACGAAAGATCAGATCTGTTCTTTGATTCTTCCTTCAAACATATAAACCTTCCCCAAGTCCCTGCAAGTTTTTCCAAAATATCCTCATTCCAGCACAGAAGAGGCAAACCACATAAATCTATCTGACATAGCGCCAATGGAACTCCCTTCTCATTCAAAACTGGAGCCACCCAATCGAAATACAAAGAGATCTCATACTTCTTGTTCTCCCATACATATGAGAATTCATCAACCGACTTAAACGTAATAATGCAAGCCTTCCATGCATAACCCCAACTGGACACCTGGACCTCCAAACCCTCAATCTTCAAAGCATCCTTTAACAACTCAAAACCAAAATCAGATTTCATTATCCCAGATAATGAACGTTTAACCCATTCCGCATTATCTTTCGGAATATACATCTCCCAACCATTCCTCACTCCACTCTCTTTCCTTTTGAAGCTCTCCAGGTTTGACCTTGAGACTTGAGCTTTTCAATGACTGAGCCTTCCTCCCAGGAAAAGGAGCCTCATACTTTCCTGACTTACTCCCCAACGACCTCTTCCCAACAACAGCCTCCCTCTTCCTTGCCTTCTGGTACTTAACTACCCCAACAAAGATTCTCCTCCCATCAAACCACTTCCCGTTAACAGACTGGACTGCTTTCCTCCTACTTTCCTCATCAGCGAACTGAACAAAAGCAAAAGTAGAGGACTTATAATTTGACTTCTCTAAAAAACTTGGAATGAATATCCTCATAATCTGACCAAAAGGACTAAAGAAATCCCTTAGCACACGCCTTGAGACCCTCTTACTAAGATTGTTAATGAACACAGTCCATTCCTCATCGGAGGCTATGGCCTTTCCCAAAGAACCTCTCTCTCTCTCTCTACCTATCGCGCTCATTCCTTTTTTTTAGTTTTTCTTCAACAGACTTTTTTAACGATTTATCTCACTCTTTAATTGTTCTGTTCTTCCCTAACTTGCATCATGTTCAGATTGAGGGACCCTAGTTCTTTCTGTACAATCTTGATATTTTGATTGTATCCTAAGAGTTCATTGGTTGGTTTTTCAACTAAACAAAATGTCACTACGGAATAAGATGTGATATTGAAAGAATACATCTTTCTCTCTCTGGCATGCGCATGCACGCAGACACACTCTTGCATGTCCGTTCATGACCATGCACTAAAAAACTGTTTTGATGAGTATTTTTCCTGATTTATCATCTTTAGCTGTAAATTGAAGGGATTATTATGGATCCATGAGTAGACAATCGGTAGAATGTCAAGTGTGACGGAAATTAAATTATACAGTGATATCTTCTCAGTGCTTTTCTTTTTTATTGTTCTTTACTGTTATGCATAGGAGTGAATTATATCTTAACTTATCTTCAAATTAATCCAGGTGGCAAAATCTTGCTTTGTTCCTGTCCTTTTTGGCCACGCTATTGATGATGATTTTATACTGCCTCATCATTCTGATTGTATATTTGAAGCTTATGTGGTAAGTTGCATCCTTCCTAATGGTAGAATGTGATATGAAACTGCATAAAAGGGGGGAAAAAGTAGAGCACCCACGGTAATTGTGTAGATGGTTTCAATTAAGCATTTAAGACAAACGAAAATTTTGTATTTAATGATTTTTGAACCATTTCTATACTTCTACTCTGAAAAAAATGTGGAGAGTTTTTGGCCAAGAATAATTATGTAGTTTATATATGAAAAATCTGATAATGGGTTATCTTCCAAATGTCCTTGTGCATGATCCCCCCCCCCCCAAAACCACCACCCCACCCCAACTGTGCATGATTGGTTTTTCATTTTTTGCATTTATAAAGGAAAGTGGATAATTGAATGCTCGAATTTCTTTAGTATCCTTGTGATTTTGAGCTATGCCTTCTATTAATGCACTACTTTTGCAGGGTGATAAGAACATTATCAAATTTGAGGGAGATCACAACTCTCCTCGTCCTCAGTTTTACTTTGATTCTATAAATATCTTTTTCCACAATGTCCTTCAACCTCCTGAGGATAAGATGGGGACAACGCTTAACGGTTCAATATACGATTACTTTGGTAAGGTAAGTTAAGTTCTAAGATTGTTTTTGGTGTTCTTAGTTTTATTAGAGTGACCAGTGTCATATTGACAGCCCCTTGCTGTTTCTCAACTGATTTACTTCAGAGTAGTTGGCTCATCCCTGAACTAGGTTTTGCCCCGGAGTCTTCAGCTGCATCTAAAGGCACGAGTATTGTACCTTGTATTTCATAACTTAAATGCCAACATCTATTAATACTATGTCTTACCCTTGATTGTTACTGTGGTTATTTTTTGTTACAGAGCCAGTGACTAGCGGCACAATAGATGCCATTGAACAAGTTCGTTCTAAAAGACCTATAAGTCGAACAGAGGTCAGTTTTAGTTGCTTATTTCTTGCCTTCTTCTCAAGAATGGCTTGTGATCTCATGGAAATCTGAAAAACTGCATGGATGAACAACTATGATCTTCTGCTTTGTATTTGAAATAAACATTTGTACATACGAAAAAAATATAAGCCAACAGAAAAGAAACACAATATTAGGGAATTTAAAACCTTCTAAGCAGTTTTCTCGTTTTTTACTGTTTATTTTTCTACATTTGGAATTTTTTCAGGTTCCTTCTGGTATCCCATCTAGAGAAAATAAATCTGGATGTGAGGTATTTTCGTTTCCCTTTTTTCTCACTTAGCTTTCTTCTAATGGGATTATATTAATATAAATGTCCAATCCATAGGGAAGAACATTTATTGTCAAGTTTTACAAATGTATGCTGCATTCTCTGAAACATTCACGTTATTAAGTAATTCGATTTTACGACCTATGATGCTTCGTTTTATTGTAATATTATGCTAATTTGATGCTTGCACAGGATAAAGATGCCTTTGATGATAATGGTTCATCATCATCCAATATGATAAGCTTCGAATTATCGAATGATGATCCATTTCCCCCTCATGTGCCAAAAATAGTGGAAAATGATCAGTATGTGGAATATCAATTGGACGACTCGACTGTTTTTCCATGTTACGTGGAGGAGGAAGAAAAGGTGAGTTGAAGCTTTTAATCTTCCATTGATGTCCACAAACATTATTTTGCTATTTAAATAACTTGATCTTTTGTCTACATTTGTTATATTCAGATGTTTATGGAAGCCATAATTGAATCCTTAAAGGACTTGGAAACGCAACATTCCCGAACAGAAGAGCAACCGAAGGCTAGTGCTGGTTATACGGAGTCATTGCAGAAAGACGAAAAAAGTAGCGTGGATACTTCTTCCACCACAGAGAAGTACAGCTCCTTGTCTCCGGAGTCTATTTCCACTCCACTGGAGCATAGACAGGCATCCTTTGAAACAGAATCCATGGAGAATGCATCTCGTGGTACTGGTGCGTCGACTGTGGAACCTACGTTTGAGTTGCCTCCATCAATACTGGAACCAAGGGACACAGGGACATCTGTTCAGAGTGGTACATCGGCATGCACCCAAAGTTCATCTGATGCTGACATATCGGCTAGCACGAAAGCCACTATAACGGTTGTAAGGAGCCCCTCTAATAACATCATGGACGGTTTGATGCGACGCTGGGATCTCAACTTCTTTCGATGTTGTCGATGAAAGTTACGACTACCATGTTTTTGAACTGCATGGTTGGTGATTGTATTATTTTGTAGCTAAGATAGCGTTAGGAGTCGTAGCATTGCAGAATGTTCAACAACAAAAAAGAAGAAAAAAAGGACAAAAAGGAAGGTACTGTCATGTACCAAGAAATTTGATTATATTGGCATTGGATTTCATTATGTATTGCTTTTTGTGGAGGAAAAACATATAATGATTTTTTGCCCAAATTATGGCATCTGCCTGTCAACACCATCAGCAAAAGCGCTTTGCTTTTGCTCTTCCAAAATTGAAAGAAATTTTGATACCAACGGAAATTATAAAAAAAAAAATCAATATGTATTTAATTCCTACCCTAATTTAATCAATTTTATTTTCTAAAAGTTTGAAATTTTAATTCTAATTCAAATAACACGTGAACGACATAATTAAATTATAAAATTTAAAATGATCAAGAATTGAATCTACAATTTATAAGCAATCACCTTAGTTTTAAAAAAAAACTAAGAGCAGAATTTGCCACATTATAAAACTCATAACACACGGATGAACCCTCAGAAGGATTGAGGATCTCAGCAAATCACTTTTGTCTCAATTTACTATTTGTAATACAAAATCAATGGCTATCTTGGGTCTCCAAATAATACAGCAATGAATAAAAGAAGCGTTGGTTCAATCTAGAAGATAACAAGGTTACACATACAAAATATAGAACTTCCTTCACATGAAATTCACACGGTTCTCTCTTAAATGTGAATAATCGAAATCTCTGACCATATGATTGAGAATGAAAACATGAATTAACAGGGAAAAGGGAGAGCATCACAGCATTAGCTCCATGGGTCATCCCAGCCGTTGGGTCCTTCTCTTTTAACAAAGTCGATAATGGCCTGCACAGCTTCGTGGACTCGGTTAGACAGGGAGTGGTTCCCGTGTTCAATTTCGACTTTCTCTGCACCACCCATGGCTCTGCACAACCTGCAGGGGTTAATGAATCGGCAAAATCATTTACTCGGATAAGGAAACATGCACACACTCTCTGGCACATATATGCATGCAATAAAGATATTTTACAATTACGAACAAGATATGCTGAATTGAACGTGCAATTGTTTCCAGGAGAAACCAACTAGATCATATCATCAGGTAATGCACAGTATTGGATGCAATAAAGAGATGTTCTAATAGGCAATGTTGCCAGGAAAATTTTAACTGCAAGTTAGTTTCTGGTCTCACCTTTCAACCAAGGCTTTCTTATCAACATACTCTGGCACGTATTCATCATCCATGGAAAAGATAACCTGAAAGAAAACCACCACATTCGCAATCTTGAGAATTCTAGTTATTAAGCAAAACATGATGATAAATGCCAACTGATTTCAAAGGAGAAAGAAAATACTACACCACAAACAAAAAAAGCTGGTTATCAAGTTTATGAATTACAATGTTTATTGGTTTGTTTTCAGTTTACACATCAAATACCGTGAGTACAAAAAAATATGAAAGGCATACGTTACCTGGCAAGGAGTGTTAGACATGTGTCCAAGTCTCATTTTAAGCTGGTGGTCATTAAGGTCTGAACTGAACATGTCATCATCTCCCATGTAGGCACAAAGGGAGTTATATCTAGCAAGACATTGGAATTCTCAACAAAGAAGAAAAATGCAATAGCATAAAAGAAGTAAAAAGGAAAATGATCATGGAGTAAAATCAATCACAAAAAAGACTAATGTGACCTCAAAGATTCTGTAAAAATATACAAAAGTTTCTTGATCTCACTGGATATATGATCAACTTTTATGAAATGAGGAATTATAAAAGCACATTATCATTTTAAGATGGAAGACAGTGGCAGTGTACTTACCTAAAGGCAGTTATTGGGGCAGAAGGATCTGCTTCCTTAGGCATTAAATCCGAACCCCGACCTTCCTTTATCATACTTGAAGCCAAGTCAATCATAGCAGCGGTTTCAGGAAGAGTTGCCCTGTATTCTCGATCACTAACTGGAGCCTGAACGTTCAAATTAGGCAATATGACTAAAGCTGCGAGTGGAAACAATACATATGCAGGGGAAAAAGAAAAAGCCCTTAAGCAAATGATAAAGGGAAGGAAGTCATCGTTATTTCATGGTCCTAATATATACTCTTGCACTAAAATATTCACATATTAGTTCAAAAACATTAAAAATAAATACATCAGAAACTTCCAAATAGTAATAAGATGTTACTCTACTTCAAGCTATCAAAAAGTGGATCTCAGCAGAATTTCTGCTTAAATGATCATGGTAACAGACTAGTAAAACTCCCATCTCACACCCATATAGTGAGGTACATAAGTTGCAAATAAAGTATACTTAAAGAAAACAAGCTGGTCGAAAGAATAGGAGCTACCTGCAAAATGGCAGCACGGACTGCTCGGGAACAAGCTGCAGTTGTGCGCATATAATGCACTATATCCTAGTTTCATGAACAAACAGGTAAATGGCCACCCTTATTACCTCAAAAAAATGCATTGATAAGCAGCCACACAAGCTTTGATACAAAACAAGTTTAACACAAAATTGGCGGCTACCTGACAGCCAGTGCTATGGCCAAGAAGGACCACACCCTCGGAATTTTCTTTGTTGATCAGATAACTGATAAGCTGATCGAGCTCCATGGCATCCTTTAAGACATATGGTGCAAGAAAATCTTAAAAACGGAGAACAATAACATGAAGTTTGAGTGACACAGCAAGGAACAGAGTACAATCAAGGTACATACATTGTTTCAAGTTCAACTGCTTAAAAATGCAAAATAAAGAAAAATATTTATAGTTTAAAACCATAAAATGTTTGGCGGAAGGTTATGTTAATGAAAATCTTGGCAGGTATTAAATAGCCAACATCTGAAAAGAACAAATATTTATCTCCACCAACCAAAAAGAAGGAAGAAGCGAATAAGCAGCAAGCTTAGTTAGCTCACTACCCTTCCGTCATTTTTCAAATGAACTCTTATTAAATGGCACAAGCAAAATTGGTGAAGTAGCTGGATAAATTCTTTGAGCAACATTTTAGATAACTTCACTAAGACGGCATGGTGTTTGAGTCTAAAAATGAATCCCCCAAAAAAAGATATTTTTTCATAGAATTTGGAGGCGAAAATCCTCATCTCTATATAAGACACAGTTTACGAGAAATTAGATCCCAGTCTTTTCAGTAGCATCGGGAGTCATTTTTTGGTCTATTTGGAAAGCAAGGAATGCAATTGTGTTTGAAGGATTATCTCTTGACAGGCTCTATCTGTTTTTCATTGTAAGATTTAGGTTATCTAAATGGTTTAAAGCCAAGTATCCTAAATTTCCTATACAGGAGGATTTGCTCATTGGGGATCCATCACTTGCAGATGGTATTTCTGTTTCTGAATCTAAGGACTGTTATGTGCTTTCCTGGCTACCCCCCTGTTGATTTTTTGAAGATGAATGGAGCTGTAAGGTTAAATGACTCGGTTGGAGGTATTGGAGGTATTCTAAGGGACTGGAATAGTTGCACTCTTCTGACTTTTTCAGAGAATATCGGTCAAGGTTCCCCACCAGTTGCTGAGTTGAAGACTATTAAAAGAGGCATTGAAATCTTTTTGGCATCACGTTGGTTTTCTGTCACTAGGTTGATTGTTGAGAGTGATTGTAAGTCAGCAGTGGAGTGGGTCCACTCTCCGGCTGTGGCTCCTGTTTTCTTATTGCCTATAGTTAAAGAGATTCTATCACTCTTCTCTGAAAAGGTGTTGTTAATTAGGTTGATTCCAAGGGCTTGTAATGGGGAGGCAGATAGTTTAGCAAAGAATGGGATTGGTTGATTGTAAGATTATAGCTGTTTGTTATTTTCTTTCCCAGTTAGTAGGATTTTCAAGTAGGTGGAGTTGTTAAGTATTATGTCAGTTTTTCTGGTGTAATTCTGGTACAGTAATAAAACGAGGCACTCTTTTCCTCCCTCCACTAGTGGATCTTTTCTGTTGGGAAAGGGTTATCTATGAGGGAGGTTTTTAATGAGGCCTCCTATTCATATAAAAAAAACATGGAAAGCACAGGGATTTACCCAACTCATGTCATAGTATATGAAACAGAAATTAAAAAGAAGAAATTCAAGATTCATGAAAAATCATCAATCTTACTTGTTGCAAGCTGGAGGTTCCATATCCATTGTATGAAGATGACATAAGTAGTTGAACAAGTGACCATTTTTCATTATCCAAAGCAATTGCAAGAGGTTCCAAGTATCTGAAAACCAAAAGGAAGGGTTACATTTAAGAATCAAAAGATTGAAATTCATAATAGACATTTAACCATGAATAGAAAAACATTTATCTTATGTGTTCAATATCTCTTCTATATTTTAGTCAAGCGGAGAAAGGTTTGTGCCTTCTCAAAGGTCTTGGACATCTCACTTCTCAAATTGCCAACAGAAAATATTTAGTTACAACTTTGTTTGAGACTTTTAGCATTGTAGAGAATAAAAACAAAACAAATTTACAAAAAGAAAAAGTCTACAGAGGCATCGCACTTAAAAATGTTCATCTTTGAAGAGAGAATCATTCAATAGGATGGACAGAGTAACTAAAGAAAGTGAATGTCAGTGACCTCCACCATTATGATTGATCACATTCCTATAAACAGATATCCATTTCTTTCATGGAAGTAACAGGAACATACTCGGTTGCTAGAAATCCATCTGTCAGTCCACCAATGAAAATAACTTGTTGCTTATAGTCACCTGTTTTGAATGCAACCTAAAAAGGTAAAAGGTAAAAGATGAAATAAGAAATATCTAATGTAAAAATAAATATGAAGCCACAGAAGTCTGATTTCCAATAAGAGAGCATAATCTTGGCATTTGAGCCATATCGAACAAGACTAACAAATAACCCATGTTATCATCCAACATCCGAAAAATTAAACCATACGTGCAAAATATACCTGCTAGTCAATAATGTTCCAACATTATTATATTATCAAGAAGCCAAACTAATAAGCTATTTTGAATTCACCTGCTAAATCCAGCTAAATAGTATCATCATCTAGACAAATTGACATTTTACTAAAATCTAATTATTATAAAACCAAGCTGCATTTACAATTCCAAAAAATGGATAAAGTAAAGCTAGAAAAGGAATGACAACTGTTCTCAAAAGGCATAAAACTAATCCCCCATTATTGACTGGAATTATGACCTGCAATCTAAAATGCCTGCTCAATATTTAACTATCAGGAGATGAATGGAAATATTCCAGCCACTTTAACCACCACCAACGTGCTGAACTATAGTCCACGACGATCAAATTGCCCCTGTATTCACAGGCTAAAAATTCTAATCCAAAAGATTTACCTTCAATGTGCTCAATAGAGTAGTTCATTGAGATTGACAGCATGGTATCTTGCAATAAAAGGCCAAATAGTAGCTAGAATAGATCAGAAAAAGCTTTCCCAAAATGAAGATAAACCACTAAATAATCACCAGACTTCTGAATGTTCAGAATCAAGTAACTGTACCACGAGAGCTAAAACTAAAAATTTAAAGGAACAAACTTATGCTCAAAGCTAGGTTTGAGATTGACCCTCAGGATTTAAATAAAAAAGATAACAATCAATCCTAAAAATCAACAATCCAAAACAATTTATTAGCCCAAGTAAACAACAAAAACCCTTTTCAAGCTCACCCTCAACTCGAATGAATCAAATTGAAAACTACCCATCATCAAGATCCCACCAATTTCACTAAAAACCCTGACTTTTAACTCAAATTCAAGCTAACCAAATTAAAGAAAGGAATTAAAAAAAAAGTTGAATTAGACGAACCTGGATGGGATTAGGCCCATACTTGAAGAGCACACCACGGAACTGGTTCTTGCCCTTGATGGGTCCTTCGTTATTGGCGGAAAAGCCGACACCAGAGGAGGAACTGGCGGTCATCTTGAGGGAAGAGGACTTCTGTTGGCGGCCCCTAACTATGCCGGAAAACCAAGAAGTGGAAGATGCTGAAGAGTTGGAGGAAGAAGATGAGGAGAGAGAAGTCATTTCCTTAGTAAATAGTTAACAAAATTAAAATTCAGCAACATCAAGATGCTCGTTACAGATTGAGAAAAGAAAGATCTCGTTTTTGATTTTTATTTTCCTTTTAAGTAAAATAATATTACCTGGGACGGAATGCATTTACTACTACATCAACTACACCAAATTACTATTAAGTATTAAAACTGAAAATATTTAATCCTAATTATTTTAAATACAAAGTAAATAGGTGAGTTTTTTTTTTTACATAAATATCATTCTAAGAAAACTTCAAATAATTTATGTTTGAATTTTCTTTTCAGATTGACATTCTTTTGTCAAAAGAGTGCGACGTCAATATATATATATATATATATAATTTTAATAAAGAGTAATTGACTTGCCATTTGATTCCTTAAATTATCCACTCTTTCCTTTTTTGCCATTTAACTCCGTAAATTATTCTATTTTCCATTCCTACAAATGCTATCATCTTTATCTCATACTAGCAAAAACCTAAGCCAATGAAACCAAAAGTCTAGCAAGAATGTGTTATTGGTATTATACCCTAACCAGTGCTTTCCTTTGCAAGTTTCATTTCCGAATCACCATTTTCATATGCAGGATCGGCAGATAAGGCATATTTCCGGTGGAGATACAAAGTTCACATCCTGAATGGGATGCCGGACAATGCTACCTCATTGGAGATCTCTTGCCGTTCGAACGACGACGATCTCGGCGGCCACACTCTTTGGAAGGACCAAGAATTCAAGCTCCACTTCATCATTCACTTGTTTAAGAAAACACATTTTGTCTGCAACTTCAACTGGGGAGTCAAGTCTTTTAAAGATGTCACTGTTTTCGACGATGTTGTGGAATGTGGAACATGCAGACAGAACGGTAATTGTTTCTGGAAAGCAGCACCTCAGGGAATTTATTTTAGCTCTGATTTCCAATACTGGGCGTTCAAATATTCTTGCTGACGGATCGGATGCGTATCAAACCATTATTTTTTGTCATCGTATGATGGAAACTGACTTTAGTTAACCTTTTAGGCAAAATTAGTGCAATAGCACTCTTGAAAAAGTATTTGAAAAATAAGTACCTGAGCATTTATTTAGTGATTTAAGTTGTTTTTTGCAATATCTTGAAAATTGAAATCATAATGTGGAAAGACATTGTGATAAATTAATGTATTTATAAATTTAGAACAACTTTAACCAAGTTAACATTTTGAAAAAAAACAAAATAATTTAAAATTTTAATTTATACTATTTATTGTAATTATTTAATTTTATTGATGGTCTAGATAGGAAGATGATGATCTTAGGCGTTATCGTCTTTAGTTTAGACCCAATGACATAATTAATAGTGGTATGAAGAAAGAAGAAATGATTAGAGAAGACAATGGACATTGGATATAGGGTTGGAAGCCCTATCCTTCAATCTTGCTTGTGAGGGTATATATGTTCTTGACTCTAAGTAATAGAGTGATTGGTGTCGATCTTAGAATTGATGACTATTGATAAGTTGACAGGTGAATAGATTTTGTTTGTTATATAATAAATTCAATTGGTGATGAGATTGATAACAATCATGTCAAAAGACTATATTCAAGTGGAAGCAGGGACGAAGCTAGAATTTTGGTTATTTAAATCATTGATCCAGTGTCTTACATACACAGATCATAAACCATGGAATATCTGCAGATTTTGCTGCTGCTTTTCTCCTTTCTTCAGATTCACTTAAACTCTTGAAAGAGCCAGGACTTGGATTCCATAACCGATAAACAAGCCTTGCTTTCATTCAAACTCCAACTCACTGATCCTGAAAATGCACTTTCAGGTTGGACCCTCAACTCTTCTCACTGCAACTGGTTTGATATTACTTGCACCACCAATGGTTCTCGAGTTGAATCCCTCCAACTCAGTTCACTCGGCCTTGTTGGCACCTTACCTCCTCTCTCTAACCTCACTTCCCTTACCACACAACCTTTCCCACAACTCATCTCATGGCCAATTCCGATTGGAGTTCAGTAGACTTTCACTTCTTCAACATATTGACCTCAGAAACAACTCCATTAATGGAACTGTTCCTGCTTCTCTTTCTCATTGCCATAACCTCGAAACAATTAGATTACAAGGCAACAGCTTTACTGGAAATATTCCACCTCAACTAGGTAATCTTCAAAGACTTAGAACCCTTGTCATCGCTGTTAATAATCTCTCTGGTTCAATCCCCTCTACTTTTGGCAACCTTTCCTCTTTAACATCTCTTAATCTGGCTAGAAACATGATAACCGGTGAAATTCCTAGTGAGCTTGGTCAGCTTAGGAACCTTCAACAGATCCAGCTTTCCGAAAATCATCTCTCAGGCCGAATCCCTGCTTCTATTTTCAACATGTCTTCTTTGATTTACTTGTCTGTAACACAAAATAACCTTTCTGGAAACCTTCCAAGTCCTCCAAATGATGGATTTTACTATCTCCCGAATCTCAAAGAACTGTATTTGGCACTAAACAGGTTTGAAGGAACCGTGCCTGGCTATATATCTAATTCTTCAAGTATTGAATTTCTTGATCTGTCTAGGAATAGATTTCATGGTCCCATTCCTTTGTTTGGCATCATGAGGAACTTACAATCCTGGATCTTGGTATAAGTCTTTTCTCTTCTAATACTGCTCGGAATTTTCAGTTCATTGATTCTCTTGTAAACTGTACTCAGCTTCAACGTCTGATGATAAATTCCAACAGACTTTCCGGTGAATTTCCCTCGGTCATGAATCTCTCGAGCAATATCCAACATTTTTGCATTTCTGACAATATGTTAACCGGTGGCTTCCCTCAGGGGATTGACAGGTTGCAGAATCTGATATCTCTTTTGATTGAGATGAAACTCTTTCACAGGTGATATTCCAAAGAGCATAGCTACTCTCAGAAACTTGCAGAGCCTTTTGGTCTACCAAAATATGTTCTCTGGAGAAATCCCAGAAATCTTTTCTAATTTAACACGACTTTCCGAAATTGCAATGGGAAATAACCAGTTTTCTGGTAAAATTCCCATCAGTTTTGGAGATTGTCAGCAGCTACAAACATTGGACCTGTCTTGGAATCGGCTCAATGGAAGCATACCACAAGAAAATTTCAAACTTTCTGGTTTAAAATACTTGATTTTGGTGCATAATATGCTTTCGGGTCCTCTCTCAAGTGAAGTTGGCAACTTGAAGCACCTTCAAGTAATTGATGTCCCTGAGAATAACTTGTTCAGGGATTTAACCTCATCCATCAGTGGCTGTTCAAGTTTGTTATATCTCAACATTTCAATGAACAACATCAGTGGTGAAATCCCGAATTCATTAGGAAGTTTAATACCACTAGAGGTTTTGGATCTCTCTTACAACAATCTTTCAGGGCCAATTCCACAAGACTTGGAAAATCTTAAGTCACTCGAGATGTTGAATTTGTCTTTCAATCATTTGGAAGGAGAAGTTCCAACAGGAAACATCTTTTCGAACAGCAGCTTGTTTTCGATCGATGGTAACGGTGAGCTATGCAGTAGTGATCAAGAAATTGCCAGAAATTTGGAACTCCCTCAATGCAAGACAGAGGGAAGACAAAGGAATCATCACTCGATCAGAATTTTAACTCCAACTGGTGGAGCTAGTCTGTTAATATGTTTGGTTTTCTGCTTCGTGTGGACTTTGATATCCAGAAGGAAGAAACAGCGGGTAAAAGGCTGTAAATCATTGCTTTCGGTGAAAGGGTTGCCGCCATTGATAACTTACTCTGATATTCAGCTTGCTACAAACAATTTCGCAGCCAATAATATACTTGGCAAGGGAGGTTTCGGTTCGGTTTATGAAGTTAGATTCAACAATTGCGATAATGGGACCAACCTTACACTTACCGTCAAGGTGCTTGGCCTGCAACAAACCAAAGCCGTTCAAAGTTTTCTTGCTGAATGTAAGGCCTTGAGAAGTGCTAGGCATAGGAACCTTGTGAAGGTCATCACCTCATGCTCAAGCGTCGATCATAAAGGAGATCGATTCAAGGCTTTGGTTTACGAGTTCATGCCAAACGGCAACCAAGAGAAGTGCCTATGTCCAGAACACGTGGAATCCGGGACTTGTCTGACCTTACTGCAAAGATTGAATATTGCCATCGATGTAGCTTCCGCCATGGATTATTTGCATAACGACTGCGAACCACCAGTTGTGCACTGCGATTTGAAGCCTGCGAATGTGCTTTTGGATGAAAACATGGCAGCTCATGTAGGCGATTTCGGATTGGCAAGGTTCCTTTCTCCAACTCCATCCCAAAGGGAGAACAGCACAATGAGATTGAAAGGCTCGGTTGGTTACATAGCTCCAGGTCAGTAAACTATAAATACATATTTACCAACATTAAAAGTTCACAGTTCATGCAATCTCAGCCCAACTTTTTTTGTGAATTTATCTGTAGAGTACGGCCTAGGGAGCAAAGCTTCAACCAGTGGAGATGTCTATAGTTTTGGCGTTCTTTTGCTTGAAATATTCATCGCCAAGAAATCAACTGATGGGATGTTTAAAGAAGAATTAAGCTTAAAAAAAATCAGCTTGGATAGAAATCAAGTTAGAGACAGTTGACCAGTTGACCCGAGGCTTTTGAAGAACCAAGGAAGTTCATTACAAAGCTCGTTCATCACCAGCTCCAGCGACAGCAGCAATGGCGGCGGCGGCAGCATTGACAGTGATCACGTCGGCCGGAAATATTAAGAACGTTTAGCAGCTGTTATCAGAGTTGGATTATGTTGCGCAGCTCAATCAGCCAAAGATCGTTTACCCATGAGAGAAACCCTGACAAAGTTGCATGATATTAAGAAATATTTACAGAATAAATTAATCAACCAATTAATTAACTAGATCTTCTACTCTCACCAATTGAATTTAATAAATAAATAAGTGTTTAATTATAAAAAGGAAAATAAGGTAATTTAATAGAGAGAAAATTGAAAATAAATTGTATTCTCAATTTTTTAAATTATTCGAAAATTTTATTGAATAAGTATGTTAGATATAAATCTTAAATAAAGTATTACTATAATGATGTTATCGTTTTATAGAATCCGCTAGTTTTATTAAAATAAATAAGTATTCAGAATTATAATAAAAGTTTATAACTATAAGTTTAAACTAAACATATAATTAAGATATTTTCTTATAACCGTTGACATAAAATCTAACCACTTAAGATTACACAATAAAAAAATTAAAAATCGAACAAAAGATAAAACAATAATTAACGCTAATCAAATTACAATTGAGATAAAGGAACGATTAAAACAAAATATGAAAAAAATCAAATAAAATTTGAACCAAATTTTATTAAAAATGATAGGACAACAAAACAACAATCTCAGTGCATGAAATACAACACCATTGGAGATGTTGTGGCTAACTTATTGGAAAGATAAAAGCGTTTGTGAATAGTGAACGATTAAGAACCGCTGTTTCAAGGGTAACACATATCATACTTGGCGGTTTTAGAATTAAACATGCAGGGACCTTTGGGGGTTATATTCCACAAGCAACGGTTGCAGTGGCGTGAATCCCTGTTTTGCTCGTAAATGTCGAACCAATGCGATCCTCCATTCCATTGCATATTGCAGAAAAACAAGGTGTTCCCCCAGAAGTGTGGGCGGAACTTGAACTCGAAGTGGTTGCGGTAGGCGAGGACGTGGACTCCGAGATCGTCGTTTTTCGATTTGCAATGGATGGTGAGATCCACCCCGATGTTCAAGTCGTTGTAGATTATTATATCGGCTTTGTGTATCAAGAAGCTCGCTTCGGTCGCAATGAAAAGTAGGGTTAGAGACAACAACCAAACCAAGTCGGTCGCCCGTGGATTCATGTTTGCTTCTGCAAAATAGAATGAAAAGCTAATAAACGATTTTGAAGTGAAAGAGGCTGCTCCCATTTGGTATTGTAATAGTATATATAATCCAGAGATTGCAATATTATACAGAAAACTGGAATCATTATGAGTAATTTTGTATAATAAATGAAATTTAATTTGGTGAACGTGGACTAAAGGGTTAAATTAGGTATCATGTGGTTTGGCTATCAAAATGTATACGACCCCGTTAGATATATACAATTAATGAGAGGTTAAACTACACTATTAATCACTCAATTATTATCTTGTTTTTGTCTTGGCTACCAAACTACAAAAACTTTCAATTTTGTTACTAATTATATTCCTTTATCAGTTCTATTTTAGCCACTCTATGTGAAATAATTAACGAAAATTATGATAAGACCTTTATTAATTGGTATTAACATATTATTTATAAAAAATACATATTCTATGAATTTGGTTCTCAATCTAAAACTTTTAAAAACTATTTATAAAAATTCAAAAAATAAATAAAAACAATATATATAGTTCATTATTTTCACCGGCCAACGTTGCCTCGGACGTGCTTTCTTTCTACTTCTCCAATTAGTTTTCTATGGTATAACCCTAGAAACAAGCCTTGAACTTTTAGCATTCCCCTTCTCCTTCTCCGATCTCATAATTTGGCGATCAAATTAGCTCTCTCTCTTTTCTGAATTTTTCGACGGTTGTTATTGATCTATAATTTAGAGGAATGTGTGTATGGAGAGGAACTAGAATTACATCTTCTTCAGTCGCTCTTTGCTTTTTAAATGAGAAGCAGTTGTACTGATCATTCTATTCCAAGATTTGTGTGAAATTGTGTTATGCTATGCTCACGAAAACCATCAATTCAATCAGTTTTTTATTCAAATCTAACATTGGTAAAATGGGTTATTATCCCATCAAACATTCAAGACTAGAAATAATAAAACTCAAGGATGCTCAAAGACCTACGGTGGCTGCTCTGCTCACCAACTAGAAACTAACGGCAGCAACATATCAAATTGTCGTCAGCCACCGCGTCGGAGCCTCACTCTATTGCCCCAGCTTCAACATGCTATAGTTTTTAGGGCAGTTCCAACTACAAACGTTTGGACTTCCGATCTGACTTTTCAACAGTTGGATCTTCCGAAGCAAGTGGCGGTCGTTTGTCGAGAAAGAGTGAAAGTTCAGAGTTTAAGTTATTTACAAAAACAAAATTGAAAAAAAAAAATAAATATTTTTAAATTTTAAAATGAGAACCGATTTATGAAATTTATAGGTGTGAAGGGTTTAAATATATAAAATTAATATCAAATTGTATTAGTTTCACTAAAACAATTAAATGAGATTGATCAAAATATATTGAAAACAGCAGTGATGAAATTGGAAATTCTTTTATTTTAATGATCAAAACAGAAAAGTTGGATAAAAAACTGTATGTATATATTTTTTAAAAAAAGGTTAGAAATAAAAATTTAATTAACCTTTACGAAATAATAATAACTAATTATTAAACCGTGCGAGTTTATGACGCCTTCTCATTTTCAGAATTGCATATACATAAAATGATGATTTATAGGTCATCAATTTCACCTATAAATTATCTTTTATAAAAATAAATTTTACCATTTTAAATATATATATATATATACGCACGATAAGGTTATAACACCCCGGCGTCAAAAAAATCAACTTTATCAAACACCAGAGGTTTTAAAATTTTGAAAAGAAAATTTATCATTTTTTTAAATCATAAATGTTAAAAAATAAATAAACTATTAGTTTAAAACACGAATGAGTTAATCTATCTTTAGAATTGAAAATTTGAAAAATATAAAATTTATTTTAAAAAATTAAAACACTAGACTTCACTCGGATTTGAAAAAGAAAATCCACACATTAAACAAATTATCGAAATCACGATGACAATCTCGTTAATTTTATTAATATGAGGATTATTTTAATTTAACAAACCTTAGACCATTGTTGGGTATCTAATACCATAATAAATTATGATTGAATATAAGTGACATATTAAAAATGACTAATCAAACCACCACAAAATAATCTTAATTAAGTAGCATTCAAGGATATATATATATACATTACACAAATTTATACTTGTATATAGAGAGAGAAGGGGGGAGGGAGAGAGATTATAGAGTTAAATTTGGGAGACGGCGGTTATGGGAGGGAGGGAGTTATTTGATGGAGGATTTGAGTGTTTGTGAAAGACTTGCAATAGCATAATTGGTTACATAATAATGGTTGTCTGAATCATTTGTTGAGGGTGATTGGTGGGCGTATTGTAGTTGTCGAGGTGTGTCCATGCTTTATGTTTAGTGTTATGGAGTTTGGTGGTGTTGTTTTTAGCAAGTTATGACATATATTACTTAACGGGAAAATAAAAAATAATTATCAAGACATTGTATACGAAACATAAGCATATCAAACAACAAAAAGGTAGTATCGAAGCGATAAGTTACTCAAAGACTGAAGAGCAGTTCTTCCGAATGCTTCACGTGGTTTCACTGCTTCGTTTTGTTACTTAGATTTCGGATTTAGGGTTCCTGCGATCACAGTGGAGATTATAGAAAAGATGAAGGGTATGATGATGCCCCCTCTTTTTATACCCCAATTTCACCCACTTAGTAAGCTTTTCACGGCTGACAGAATAATCACTCCTGGTGGTATGGGACGACACGTGTCAATTTCAAATTTTGTTTTCTTTTTTAGATAATCATGACCAGAATAACACAATACTCGGTAGTTTAAATTTAAATGTTATAATAAACAAAATGTCATCCAGAAAATTCATGAGATTCAAATTAACCCAAATCCATCGATTGGGCAACTCCAGCTTAATCCGAATTTGGCCCAAACAAAATATAGTTATGCCACTATTAAATTATATTTGTAGGATGCTTTGTAGATCGTTATAATATATTTTTGTAGATCGTTATAATAAAATATATTTTTGTCTCGGGTTTGAGCACCAGTAATATCATAGTACGAGCGTTTAATGTCAAATGATTAAGAGTTATCTTTAAAAAGATATTACCTTGTAAAATTACAAATTTTGCCAAAATTATTTACAACACCAGTAGGAGATGCTGTGGCTAAATTATTCGAAAATACAACACCAATAAGAGATGTTGTGACTAATTTATTGGAAGAGACAAAAATGTTTATTGTAAATAGTGAGGGATTAAGAATCGCTGCTCCAAGAATAACAGATATCATACTTGAGAGTTTTATAATTAAGCATGCAGGGACCTTTGTGCTTTATAATCCACAAGCAACGATTACACAGCCTGGAATCCCTGTTTTGCTCATAAATGTCGAACCAGTGCGATTCTCCATTCCACTGTATTTTGCAGAAAACAAGGTGATCCCCCAGAAATGTGGGCGGAACTTGAACTCAAAGTGGTAGTGGTACGGTAGGACATGGACGCCGAGGTCGTCGTTCTTTGATTTGCAATGGATGGTGATATCCGTCCCGACGAGCACGTCGTTTTAGACTAATATATCCGCTTTGTGTAACAAGAAACCCGCTTCGCTCGCAACGAAAAGCAGCCTTAGAGACATCAACCAGCAGGCACTGTTGATCGACCGTTGATTCATGTTTGCTTCTGCAAAACAGAATAAAAAACGACCGTGGTTCCTCGTGTTTTTGTTGATTACTTGAGTTTCTGGGTATGAAGTGAGTGAGTAGCCAGTAGGGTTTTTGTGATGCAGTGGAGGTTATGGGGAGATTTTGGAGAAGATAATGAATAACACTTAGAAGGGGTGTCAATTTATTCCTGTACGCCAGTAAAAAGTAAAAATCATGCAACTCATGGATAGCCTCGTAAATACCACGAGGAATAAATTCTCAAAATATGTAAGTAAACCCTAACAAGCGTTTACGTCATGTTTATTTCTTCGATTACTTAATTTACCTGTTCCAGGTTCTTAAAAATTGTGGGATGATGTTTCCTGTTCGTGCTTCTTCTCAACTAGAGTAATGGTTAGCTATACACACACATATATGTTGTCGGGCATTAATGGTAAAACAGTAATTCCGTGGCACCCAAGGCCATACACATGGTAGACATGCAAACTAGCTCTTCATTTTAAACTTCAATTGCCTCTTTAATAAACTTGTACCTAACATATTAGTTTACCCTCAAAATTATTTTATAAATTTTATAATAAAATATTAAAAATGGATTCCAGTTCAATCACTGGTACATAAACTAAATAAATTAGGTATTTTTTTACTCATTTCTTAAGGATTGAGGGAGAAGAAGTTGAATAAAGATTGCATCACCGTTTTATTATTATTATTTTATCAACTTGTCTTTTGAAATATTTTTTCTTCAGATTAAATTATGTAAAATGAAAATATACGTTTGCTGCCACGATCTACAAAGCCCCAAATTAAGTTCAGAAAATTAATATTTAGTCTTTTAAGAGTTTTAAAAAGAAATAATTTTAAAAATTATTATTATTTTTTATTTTTTAAAAAATTAAATAAACTCTTCAAATTATGTCACCAATGATACGCACGGCATACAACCTCATTTGCAAAAATTATTTAAATCCTTAATATTGAGCATTACCATGCATGCAGTTATGAAAAACATTAGAAACCTTGAAAAGAGAAAACACTGCAACAAAAAGACGAGTAACCCCCAACATAAGCACAACACGTTGTCTCCGAACACACCACTTCAGAAAACCTAAACAAATTAAGAGAACTAATAACTAGACATCACCAACATAAACATGGCTGGCTAAAACATCAGGGGAGGGGAAAGCACCACCAAGACCACTTGCGCCTCCGGGGCCGACGCCGCCACCGGTACCACTACCGAGACCTCCTAGGCCACCGATACCCGTATAACCACCTATTCCAGCTGCTCCACCAATTACACCAAATTTGCCGATCCCACCAAGGCCACCGACTAATGGGATTCCACCAGCCATGCCACCATAGCCACCCACCCCAGCAAAGCCGCCAACTCCACCGTAAATAAAATTCTTCTTGTCATCAACGCCACTACTCTTTGGTGAATCCGCCTGCGCTGCACCGGCTCTCAACGTTTGCTCCTCCATTGAGTCATCACCCGGTGGCACATTACGTGCATTGCTTGCATGCAGCAGAACCACCAAAACAAGGACAAGAAATGCAAAAACCCTACCCATCTTTCCCTCTTACCAGATAAATGAGTTAGCTAAGTAGGTAGATTTGCATGGAAATGGCTTATATATAGGAGATTGAAAGGTGGGAGACAGTTGAGCACAATAAATAGCGATCTCGAGATGGCAAATTCTTTGAAATTTTGAATCAGGGTGTTAGGTAGGTGAAAAGAAGAGAAAATTTAAGCAAGTCATGTGTTCTGTTATCCATGAGAATTGCATAAACCAATTACTTCACTTGTACCAATATCTACTTCCCTTTGATTCCATTCAACCGGAGACTGCCAGCGGTAGACGCACGTCCAAGTTAAGATGAGCAAATATCTAACTTGAAATTCAAATTTTTTTAATTAGTAATTTATTTTATCGACTGGGTTCACTTTAAAACTTTATTTGTCTCGAAAATATTTGAGTGTGACTAATTTGTGTGAATATTGGGCAAACTTTATATTTTTTTGGCTTAGTTATAAGACATAATTCTACGAGATTTTTTTATCCATAACAATAATGTGACAACGTCAACGATTCAAATGATATAACATAAAATTGACACGAGAAAAAAAAAAGTAAATAAAAATTAAACTAAAATAATATAAAAATTTAGAAATATATTTGAAAATTTTATGTATTTTTATATATTTATGGAATTTTTTAATTTTTATAACAAAAAATATCAATTTTTAAATATATATTTTTATCTTTTATATTTTTATATCACATGATCATTTTTAAAATTATCACGTCATTTTCAAACCATGCCACTAGAAAACACAAGCATTAACTATTTGAACAATAAGTGTATTAATGCCAAATAAAACCATTATATTAATTATTACTTTTTAGATCCACTTATGTTTTGGGCTTTAAAATGGATCCAAACTGTACTCCATCCATTTTACTTTTGCATAATGTCAAAAAAAAACTCATAATGTATAATTAAACAGTCACTTTATCCTTATATTTTTAAGTGTATTTTGATTTTTAACATTTATCATTTTGATCCTTTTTTCTTGTTCCATCTTTTTCGAATAGTATGAGATGATTACAATGTAATCTTTGTTCAGAACTTTTTTTAATCGATTGACAATGCACATACACCTTGCAAATGTAACTGTTCGAATTCGAAATTTTTAGAGAGAACAACACTCTCTTTTACCATTTACGATTGAGACCACATATATATATATATTCTTTTAAAGATGCAAGATACTTTATGATTTGATGGATCATCAGGAAGCATACTTGTGGTTGACCTTAAACCAAACTAATTACCAATTTAACGTTCAAAGCAATTGAACAGGCTTTGGCATCATTTTGGTGAAGACCAGAAGCGAGAACCAAGCAAGAAATGGTCAGGATATTAGTAATTGATGATCACGTGGGGATGTCGGTTGCCTACACTAATGCTGGCAGAGGAAATAACATCAACTGGCCACCATTACTCACTTAATCAACATTAACATCTAAATATCAGTATCAGACATAATTACTCTCATAGATTGTATCACATTCATTATATGGGTAAAATCTCATGTGGTGGTGATTATTATCTCTTCGACGTATCCAAAGTGAAAAAGGCAAAATATACATCATATTCATTGTGCATCATCTGTAACAAACTCTTTCCATAACAAACAAGTGTTGACATTCTGATTATTGCTTGAATGGCAACACATTTTTTAAAAGATAAAAATATCTGCAAATCATTCAGTCCTATAATGAATGGTGGTTCAAAGAGGAAAATCGGGGGGAAAGAAACGGACAACCCACAACACTCCGGCATCCAGGGACGGACGCATGATTTTTTGTTAGGAGGAGTAATCTTATAAAATTTTAAGTATGAAAGAATTTATAAAATTTTAGAGGGTGCGAAAACATATTTTTAATAAAAATACAAGAAATATATCTAAAATATATAAGAATTTAAACTGTCCCACCCACCCCTAGGTCGTCCCTGCTGGCCCTGTCGGCACCGACGGGCCGAGGTTGGAAAAACTAAACGAACTATCACATGCATAATGGTGGAGAACTTGGTAGAACAATATGATGACAAATTTGTAAACAAAGCTAAACCTGTCAAAATGTGATGATGCTAAAAAACAATTAATGGATTGAAAATGAAGACTTGGTACTTGGTAGGTAATGATGGAAAAGGGGAAATTCAAAGAGTTCTGTAAACGGCAGATTTTTTTCAGCCGATTAATGCTAGCATTGTCTGCCTCTGCGACAGGGAAGAGAACCGGCATTTATTGTCATGGCTCTAACCATGGAAGAAGACTTGGCACCCAAGCTCGAGGCCCTGGCATAGCTGGCTGAGGCTCCAGCACCTGATGGAGTGAAGTAGGCACCATTGACCAGCATGTCTCCTTCTGACCTCCAGTTCCAGTTCTTCCACTCACTTTCAGCAGTCTCCACTCTCTTGGTCACCTCCTTTGCAAATTGGTTCATCGGGGCTGCATATCGGTTTCCCTGGCTGTTGATGGTAGGGTTTGCACTTCCACCAATTGCATACATTTCCCAGTGAGTGTAGTCATTGTTCACCACATGGAAATATCCATGCCTACACCTTGGCATTCTCTGGATAAGTCCCTTCCCAAAATGATTATAAGCAATAGTCACTTGCATCAGCTTGTCCCTTGTGTAGGAGTCGCTGTGGCCTAACAGCATCACCTCATTGTGGTGGGTCAGGTGGTTGTTGGAGATGGTAATTGCGGTCGAGCCCATGACGGCATCGACTAGACCATCGGCACAATTAGAGAGAGAATTGTGATCAATCCAAATATGACTAGAACCAAATATGGAGATTGCATCACCATCGGCCATCGTCCTCCACCCGAAATGAGACGGTGAGCTTCTCACCATGGCATTACCGGTAGGCTTACAGTCGTGGATATGAAGTCCATGAATAATCACATTGGTAACGAATTGGATCGTGATACATGCCCCGTTGGTGATATGAACATTAGCTCCACGACCATCGATGGTCTTAAAGCTGTTCATTATCAACTCCTGTTTCAACTTGATTACCATGTCGCTCTTGAACACGATCCAAAGAGGGTAGTCCTGGATCACAGCATGACGCAAGGTCCCGGGTTTGGGGTTAACAGGGTCATCGTCGGTGTGGTCGGTGACAACGTAGAAGTGTCCGTCACGCCCACCGATTGCATTCCTCCCGAAACCAATGCCACACTCGGCTAGTCTCTTGCGACGCTTATGCCAATTAGGGTCACAGCGCCAACAATCATCGATGGGATTACCGGTTCCACATGAGAAGAACCCCAACTTCCTTCCTTCAGTCACATTGCGAATATTCCTTCCATTATATTTAAATTAATCAATATATAGACTTACGTAGAGAAAAAAAAAGAAAAATTAAAGGACTTCATTAGCATTTTTGCAAAAACAATATCATGAACATGAACGTGAACGTGCTTATATCATAATTTGTAATGATTTATAACGAAATAACGAGTATTTATTAAATTTAATGATGAATGGTGTGAGTAAATCATTGTCGGTGGGTGGAAATTAACCCCACTGAGGACAATAATCAGATGTATAAAAAACAAAGCTATAGTAGAATTTTTGTCAAATTCTGAGGACAATAGAGTCACTTCAATAACGACTAGCTTCAAAAAAGGAGAAATATGGGAGGAAACAAACAAACAAACAAGAACTGGAATTATAATTGGCAATACCTGTAGCCCTCCCGTTGCACAAATTTTGTTCAGAAATTATGCAATTAATCATAAATTTAGAAAATGACTTTTTTAGTAATAAAGTTTTGAACGTGGGCTAGATAAAATGCAGCAACGAATATGATCGTGTTATTAAAAATAATTCAAATATATTAAAATTTAAAAAAGGTAAATGATTAAATATGAAAAATATGAGTATAGACGAAAGCGACATAAATGGATGGAAAAGGACCATTAAGATCCTGTTGCTTTAACTCAAGTACAGTACATGAAAAATTATATTTGTGATGAAAATGACAGTAAGAGGGCCGTGAGACACGGATCTCATCAAATTGGTCATTGTTATTTCGAATGACAGTGCAGTCAATTTACGTAGTAATAATTATTACCGTGATAAAAAAAAAGTAAGTTACTATCTCCACTTTGAGTTTAGAAAAAGAAAATGTGGGGTGGTTTTATTCTATATCAGTATCGGGTTTAAAATATAACGTGTTAATATTAGATTATAATTGAAAATTTTATTAAAAGCATGATGTTTTAGATTCAACACAATAATATTTTAAATTAAAACCAAAAATATTATATTTTTTATAATATTTATAATATTTTTATTATAACTGAAATTATACAAATTATAAAAAAAATTTAGTGATAAATTCTAAATACACTGTAATTAACATTTACAATTATAACTGAAAATATTTTAAATTATATAGCGTTTTAAGTTAAACCAAATAAATCTAGATTAAAAATCACCTTATATTATTAAATTACCGCACAGAACTACCTATCAACTTCGGGTTATTTTTGGATTTAATTTGTGTGTGTAAAAAGATGAAAATGAGATATTATGGTTAAAAAAGAGGCTCACATGTCAATGATGGTCTCGACCTCTGCAGCAACAGCCTCTGGGGCAGCAACCGCATGCTCATTCAATGGATCAACCTCTTCTGACCTGTACCTGTGATTTTGTCACACTTACATTTTTATATGCAATTATCAAAATTAAATATATCATTTTCTTCGAACGGTGTTTATTTAATTATTTAAACCTTTTTCAAATTTTAAATTAAAAATAATTTATTTAAATCTTTAATGTTATTTAAATAACTTAATAATCTAACTGGTAGTTGGTAGAATAAGTTGAGAGGGGCATGGGACTCGAACCCAACGGTAAGTAGAGAGGGGTATAGGACCCGAATCCAACGGTAAGTAGAGAGGGGTATGGGACCCGAACCCAACGGTAAGTAGGGATGAATATGGAACTCGAACTCGATTGGTTCTGACCTGATTCGGATCGTGGTTTTTTTAAATTTCGGGTTCAAGTTAGGTCATGTTTGGTTTTTTAAAGGTTATGTTCGGGTCAGGTCAGATTCTGGTTTAGGTTGAAAAATACCCGACCCGACCAAAAAATATAATTTTACCTTATATGTTTAAGAATAATTACAGTAATAACTCTATATATTATTTTTTTTCAATTAATTTACTATTTTTTTTTGAATAAAAATAATATTTTTATTATTTCGAGTCGAGTCGAATTTTATCTTAAAAAATAAGATCGAGTAAAGGGCATATATTTTTTTAATCAAGTGAAAAATATAAATTTTTAGAGTCAGACCAGATCAGCCGAAATTCGTCCATCCATAAGAATAAGGTCTTGTTAAGCGTATAACAACAGTATACGCAATCATAAAGACAAAAGGTTGCTGCCCACCAACAATTTCCAAAACCGTTAAAAAACACTTTGCTGGGGGGAGAGAGAGAGAGAGAAACAGCGATTGAGGGAAGATGATTTAATGGAATCGAATAAAAAAATTCAAATTATTTTAATTAACTAGTGTTATTTTATAATTTGAATTTTACTTAAAAATTTTTTTAAGTTAAATCAAATTTTTTAATTTATGTTTAAATTAAATTGATATATTTATAATATTATGATATTATTTTATTTCAATTTAAATGATTTTTATAACTATATGCAATACATATATATATATTATTATTTTTTTATATGTGATAATAAATATATATTATACAGAATCGAGATACTAGATTCAAATTTAAAAATTATTTTATTAATTATTAAAAATTTTGAGTTATTCAAATTGTATTTTATAACTCGATTTGAACTTGAAATTTTGATTCGAGTTAATGAAATTACAATTAGAAGTTAATTTAATTCAAGTTAAAAAAATCAATTTTTTGAATTGAGTTTTAATCGCTCATAGCTGGGATTATTATAAATGTCTAAAATGCCCTTCATCTGACACGAATTATTTCCTCTTATAGGTGGAAAGGGCAATTGTAGTGAAAGATTATTAGTTCCCGCTAACTAACAAAAGAAAATAAGTAAACGGTTGAGATCTAAGGATCTAGATCTCAACGTCTTGGATTGTTAAGAATGGATAAAATGGTAGCTGTTGGGCGATGATCCAACGGTCTAAAACTCTTAACATTAACAAAACGAAACAAAAGTAACGGGCGAGATCATCAGTTCTAAATTAGCCAACAAAAGAGAAAATGGTATCAGTTGAGCTCTGCATTACCTAGCTGCCATTGTTGAGTTGTTTGAGCTCTGCTGCGTGTTTGTGTCCACATTACTGTAAGAATATATAATTACTTAGTCGTTTTCAGGCCATTGGAATTCTACATAATTTGCATTATAAGTCTGTTCAAAAGGAAAATGAATCGAAGAAGAAATTCAAAAGATTGTAACAGAGGTTGAAGAGAGACCTGGAAATGTTGAGGGTCCGTACAGTGGGATTGATACTCCGACAAGAAACAAAACAGAAGAGGTAAGGCGGAGAAAGACTGTTTAATGGAGACGGCCATTGCCACCTTTTCTGCTTCTTCTTCGGTACTTGAAGGATTTTCTCTCTATCCAAACAGACAGCCAAAAAGGAAAAGGAAAAGGAAAATGAGAGAAAGTGAACAACTGAGGAAGAAGAAGCAGGGACAGTTAGACTGTTAGAGTACAACCTCCACGGAGATGGCTTTTATAGACCCGAAATTTAAAACAATAAACGACGCCGTCCCCAGGTTATTTGACCATTTAATTTTAACCCGAGTTCAATTTTAATTTTTAGGATAAACTACACCAATGATCACTGATGTTTAGATAGGTTTTTGTTTTTACCACTAATGTTTCAAAAGTTACAAATCGGCCACTAACGTTATCGTTTGTGATAAATTGGTCACTCGTCGTTAAGAGGCGTCAAAGAAAACACACGTGGACTGTTAACTGCTTATGTGGATGGTTTGATCGCCACATGTACCAAGCCTGTCCCATCGCCACCAATAAGAACGACACTATCATAAAGCTCGCCTCACTCCGATCACCCTCGCCACCCATTCCCGCCCTTCATTTTGTTTTTGTCTTTTCAAGATTCGTGGGCGTTATAATAATAGTGAAAGGTTGGTGGAGCGTTTTGCAGGATATCAGTGTCAACTTCTTCTCAATTCCTCTATTTCGTTTTCTTTTCTTCTTCTTGCCCTAACCTTTGGGGCAGCTACTTTTAACCTATTTTTTTTCCTTTTTGTTTTCTTCCATCTTTGGGTGTTTATGGCTATGGAGATGCAGAGCAGAAGGAAGACGATGGGGGCCAACTTCAGCTACATCGAATTCGCCGTCCACATGCACGTCTCTAGCGGTACCTTCAGCTACCTTCGGTAAGTTCACTGCATTTATGACCGGGGCCAACTTAATAACCGAATACGTCATGTCGAACGCCGCCGTAGCCAGGGGACTCACCTCCTATTTAGCCGCCGCAATCCCTACGGCGAAATGGAGATTCGTTATCCCATTTTTTCCCAGCGGATTCAACGGAATCGACCTCGTAGCTCCAGCCGTCGTACTAACCATCACACTCATCGTTTGTTACCGCACCAAAGAAAGCTACATCGTCAACATGATTCTCACCGCATTACATATCCTCTTCATAGCTTCCGTTATATTAATGGGGTTTTGGAGAGGAAATTGGAACAATTTCACCCGCCCGACGAATCCTCATAATCCGTCTGGTTTCTTCCCCAACGGCGTCTCCGGTGTCTTCAATGGAGCTTCCATGGTTTATTTAAGTTACATCGGATACGACGCCGTATCGGCGAAGGCCGAAGAGGTTCATAATCCAGTAAAGGATATTCCAATCGGTGTATCAGGCTCTGACATCATCGTCACCATTCTTTACTGCCTCATGTCGGCCTCCATGTCCATGTTGCTACCTTACGATATGGTAAATAACAAATTTTTAGTATATTGATAAATTTCTGTTTATTCAACTACGCTTAGCAGTGTAGGTAAGATTAGTTGTGTAATGTATTTATGAGTGATTGTGTGTTGAATTGTTGACACAGATTGACATTGAGGCACCGTTTCGAAGAAGCCAAGCCAACTGCGGACTCTAACTTTTCCATCAAGCTCTAGTCTTTACTAAAACAATAATGTGGTGAAATGGAGAAGAAGATGAAGATGAACAGGAATATGCTATCATTATATAATTTAAAAATACATTGATTGTTAAAAAGGAAGGGATACACAAGATCCATTTAAATTTTATCTTTTTTGTTGGTCTCCACCACTACCACAACTACTAGTAATAGTTTAGAAGTGAAGTGAGGTTGGATTGATTTGTACTGATTCGAAAAACCAGGCGACTTTTTACAGCAAAGGGACACCATTTTTTGTCCACTAATTCACGTGAATTCTACATATTCCCCAGTCTCTTTTTGAATTACGTAACCTACTGATTCCTCAAATAACCATGATAAGTTGGCCCTGGTCATGAATGCCGCGAATTCACCGAAGGTAGCTGAAGGTACCGCCGGAGACGGGCATGTGGACGGCGAACTCGGTGTAGTAGAAGGCGGAGAGGAGGGCGCTGAGTCCGACAATGGCGTAAGAGATAACAACAGCCGGGCCGGCGTAGAGGCGAGTAACTCTGTCGGTGGTGATGAACACACTGGCTCCGACCATACCTCTGATTCCGAGGCCAACTAACTCGAACCAACAGAGGTTTTCGCATGTCGGAGCTGGAACGGGCCTTTATCTGGCTGAGTTATTCGTAGGAGGAAGAAACAGAGGGTGCACGGTGAGCAAAGCGATGAGGGGCATGGGCCAAGGCATGGAGGTATGGTTTTATATTAGAGAAAAAAGATTGGGTTTCCATTAGAACTGACGACGAAGAAGAAGAAGAAGAAGATTTGGGTAAAATTGTGGTAATGGAGGGCTATAGTTTCATTCATGAAATTTACCAAATTGTTTAATTATTTTTTAATTTTTTGGTAAAACACCGGTCATAGGAAGAAGTAAGGTTCTCCACTGTGACGGTCAAACCATCCACGTAAGCAATTAATAGTCCACGTGTGTTTTCCGTGACGCCTCTTAACAGCTGTTAACAGCAAGTGACCAATTTGTCACAAACGATAACATTAATGACCTATTTGTAACTTTTGAAACATTAGTGGTGAAAGAAAAAATTTACCCAAACATCAATGACCATTGGCATAATTTACCCTAATTTTTAACTGGATGAAGCCACGTCAGATACTACGGATGTACGGTGGGGGAGCAGAACTCCCGCTGAATTTGCGGGACTAAATAAAGTGTTAAATTTATTTACTTTAATAGTTAAGAAATTTGGTGGAATGAATATTAGGCGACCGCCAATCACGGTCTTACAAAAAAGGATACAAATTTGCCACTTGAACAATAATAATTACATTTATTCCTTCAGGAATATTTATCACTTTGTTTAATCACAAGAAAATTAATAGAAATTATTTCAGTGGAATTTTGGCATTCATTATATCCTTGCAATAAAAAAATAATTAGATATAATTTTTTTTAAAATAGTTGATTGGCTAAAATAAAATATTTAATGTGATATTTTTTACTCTTCAATGATTATGCGAGGTTATTTTATGGTAACACGTCCGTCGTTAATTTTTTAATGATAAGTGACTAAAAATAATAATCTTAAATATGATTTTGAAGAAAATAGTTGGGTGACTATCGAAAGTTATAAGTTTTTTTTGAATAATTTTTATCTAGGAGAGGGGAAGACAGATTTTACTCCTAACCAATAATAAACTCACAACTTAATAAATAACAAATATCAACCGAAAACTTTTTAACCACCTACCTAAAAGATCGTTGACTATTGAAATTTATACTTAAATACATTTAAAAAAAGAAATTAGTGATACAATGTTTATATAATCGAAAAGACCACATCACCAATCCACATAGTTAAAAATGATAACTTTACCAGTTTTATGATGATTGCTTAACCCTATTCCATTCCGGACTAACAATCTATATCACAACAAGTAGGGTAACTACAACAACAATAACAAAACCCAATTTCCATATGCAATGGGGTAAGGGGGAGGTAGGGTAGTAGGCTGCCCCCAACGCCAGGTTGAGAGTAGCTTTCGTGGAAGACCTCCGGCAGTCAGAAAAATAAAATATAGATAAAATGCAATGTATGTATAAATAAATACATAAATACATAGTTGTACAGTATTCATATGCAGTCATTAATATCATATGCGCGTCTGTAATGGCAGTAATCTTTGTATATAGACAGAAACGTAAGACCCGACTAAATTTAAAAATGGAGAGAATGATACAAGTAGGGTAACTAAATTTGTTCAAATTATTACTAAGTTTTAAACCTCACATATACAGAAATTGATAATACAATGTGACCAAACTCAAATTTGTTGTATTATAGATTGCAAAATTTGAACTTCTAAACTTAAACTAACGTACTCTTCTTCCTATATATATTATAAAAGATGAAGCTTGTAAATGAACATGAGACTTTATTCCATAGCAATGTAAATGAATAAGACCCAAAACCTTCCCTTTGAAGCTTTTAAACAAAGCAACTTTTAAAATTTCGGCATTCGTATTTATAAAAAAAGAGTTATTAAATGTTTAATTAGATAATCTTTAGTTAGTGTTTACAGCAATTAGTATTTAAAAAAATACCCGCATTTCTTAACAACAAATAATTTTGAATTTTAAAGATAATATTTTTAAAAAATATAACTATTAATTTTAAACATAAAATATAAAATAAATATGAAATATGAAATATATTAAAAAGTTGCTAGAATTTGGACCATTGATTGTGTCGACCAACCCAGTCGCTCTCGGGTTAGTTATTTTAGTTTTGTTTTGTGAGCATGGAAGTTGGAAAGAAATTATGAAAGTTTAGTAAACAAAATAATGACCTAAGAACCATTCATCATATATCCAATGGTTTTAGTTTGCTTTATTTATGTGTTTGGTTATTAAAAATGATTGTTCATCTGTTTTATTGTGTATGAATAAATTTAAGATTATTTATTGTAGGCACGAATCAAGCGATTTTAATGATAAATGAATTATTGTTATTCCTTGAGATCTTATCTTCGAACACCATAATTTCAAGGGTGTGAACGTCAATATCAAATTATTGAAATTTATCTTTAAACATGTGTTACCTTGAACTTACTTTATACTAATAAAAAATATTTATTATAGTAATATTATCTCTAAAATTTGAATAAGAATTAAATTTTATAATTATTTAGTAAAATACCAAATAATCTCTGTGATTATTTATTGTAGTAGTAGGAAAAGACTCGTTGAAAGGGTTGCATTCATGCACCTTTTATATATCCATGAGATGTAACGTATGTAATTTTTTTAATAGTCTGAATAATTATAAAGTAGTATTTGTTCAGAATTTATTTTAATCATTGTTAACGTGTATATATATTGTATAAACGCAATCCCTCGAACTTAAAATCTCTAAAATCAATAATACTCTTTTCTTACCATTAAAACCAATCAATAAATTCAAAATATGTGATTATTCTATATAACACTTTTCACAGTTACGTATTTATTGCCTCAAAAAATTTCACGTAATCAATTGTGAAAGGTTGTATTTCCTATATATAATAAAGTTGTCCAA